CTCTCTCTCTCTTGGTTTAACAAACTGAAAAGATGCTATTTCACGTTACGTACCATACGTGTATCCAATCTTGTAGTTTTACAAATTGTTGAACAACTGAGGTGTAGTTGTATTTTCATTTTTAAAATTGACGAATTGGACGACGAGTTATTTGATGAAATACGATATTTTAATTTTATTGGGATTTTATACGATTTCGTATTTTTACGAACTGAGAATTAAAGGAGTGGGATTTAAGCAGAGATTCGTTTACTAATTTTATGCGTTTTTGAATATTACATTTCACTTAAACATAAAATAACTAGTAAAAAATATTTCTATTATAATTAAGAAAAAACGATATCCTATCCTGGCAAAATTAATCAATAATTTATCAGTTATTTCTAACATTTTGTGTCAAAGATATTTTACACTTTTATCAAATATTTGACCATCGTGAAAGTGACAAATTCTTTTTTACGCATATCTATAAAATTCGAAACCATTCTAATAAAATATACAGATGTATACATTTTTATTTAATCTGAAATATTAAAAATTCGTTATCGAATCTTTCATCCTTGAAACGTCTGTACAAAATTCACAGAATTCGATTGACAAGGTTTTAATCCAATACACAAGCTTAAATTTTGCGTCTGAAATGTAAAATATTAAACTTTCGTTACTGATGCTTTCATCCTTGAAACATCTGTCTGTACAAATTCATAAATATTTACAATCAGTTGAAAATGTTTCAATAAAATATACGGAGATACTGAATTTAAATTTCATTGACTCTAAAACGTTAAATTTTTACTCATCAAAAAATTTGCTTAAAGAAATCTAAATTTTTTCAAATTCATCGATCTGTCAAAAATTTTTTAATAAAATACACAAACACTCTGAATTTTGAATATCTGACAATGAACCTAAGGTATCGAGCTTTCATTATTAAATTTCGCTCCTTAGTCTAAAAATTTATTTAAAAAGACTACCGAAATAAATAGAAATAAATGTATAAAATTCGCAATCAATAAAAATATTCTTTTAATATAAAATACACAGCTGAATTTAATCTGAAAATGTTGACTAACAAGTCTTCGTTATTAAATTCCGTTCCTTCGTCTAAAAAATAATAATAATAATAATTCTGAAATATTAAACCATCGCTCCTTAAAACAAACTCCACTTAAAAATCAATCTACAAAATTCGCGATCAATCAAGTGGTGTTTTTAATAAAATACACAGCTGCCGAGTCTTTTGCCGAGAATTTTGTTGCCGAATCGGAAATATTAAATCCTCGCTCCTCAGAAAATCCATTTGAAAATAAATCGACAAAATTCGCAAATCCACCAATGGATCTTTTAATAAAATGCACAGCTGTTGAGTCTAAATTTCGTCTCTGAACCTAAAATGTCAAGTCTTCGTTATTAAATTCTGTTTCTTTGTCTAAAATCTGAGATATTAAACTGTCGCGCCTTAAAACATCCACTTAAAAATAAATCTACAAAATTCGCGATCAGTCGAGAGATTTTTTTTTTATTAAAATACACAGCTGTTGGATCTAAGTTTCTGGATCGGAAATTAATAAAAATTTATAAAAATCGATCTAAGATACACGACTGTTTAAATTAAACCGAAACATCGAACCCTTCGAAAATCTATTTACTCGCGAATCTATAAAATTCGCAATCGATCAAGGGAATCTTTTTTTCTTTTTTAATGAAATACACAGCTGTTGAGTCTAAATTTTGTTCCGGGACCCGAGAATATTAAACCTTCGTCGTTGCTTTTTCCATCCCGAGAAAAATCAGTTTACAATCCTCCATCCTGGATAAAGTCTGGCGGCGAATTCTCGCGGAGGACGACGTAGACGACTACGGTCGAGAAGCCGCAGGCCTCCGTCTTGATAAAGGAGTTAAACCGGCTTAATTACCGCGTTACTCGGTTTAAACTAATTACGCGTTTGCCGACAACCACAAATTCTCGAGGCGCAAACCTGGCGGGGCCGGCATTGTGGCCGAATCCGCGCAGGGGCCGTTCTTTATTATACGCCGCCATAACCGCTCGTAATTCTACGCGGGGCCATTTGTACCTTGTGGCCCTCTTCGTTACCTTGCAACTGTTGATTCGAGGCTGGCTAATCGACAAAACCAGCTCGAGAATTTCAGCTGACGCAACCGGGAACAACCGTAATCCCCTTCCCGATATTTTTTTTTTTCTTCCCTTTTCGCGAGACCAAAGGGAGAGGAGGAATCATTAAGGGTTATTGGAGGAGAGATTAAAATTTACGATTAGAATTTTTAAAGGCTGATTAATTGGCCAAGGTATAATTGGAAAGTTTTTTTCTTGTAATATTAACGTAGATTCTCGTCGGTTCGACGATAATTGGGACAAAAGTTCATGAATAAAAGTTTATGATTAAAAAAAGAAATAGAAAAGATCTGTTTTGTAAAGAAGATCATTGTAATTAGAACGAGTACCATAAATTCATAGGGAGGGACCCGTAGGTTTCCCAATTAATTAAGTTCCTCTTTACGAAGGAACTCAAGTTGTGATTGAAACGACTGTTGTAGATCCGTAATTAGAAAGAAAGTAGGGGAATTTGTCTGTTGTTTTACGTAATAAATAAAAAAGGAAAGAAAAACTAGAGAAGATCCTTGTAATTGGAACGGAGTGTCACAAATTTGCGACTAGAGAAAAATAGACGAAAGTCATTCTGCTGTTTTTGATAATTGTAAAGAAAGTTGACATGAAATATAAATAAAATAAAGGAGTAATGTAGTCTGCAATAAATGAAAAAAAAGTGATCGTTATAAATTTGCGACTAAGAAAAATAGTAAAAAAAGTTAATATGAAATATAAAGAAATAAAAGAATAATGTAGTCTACGATAGAATCGAAATTACTAAAATTAGTTGCACATCTAAAGAAGCTTGTCACAGCTGAGAGGAGACTACTTCTTTAAAAAAACTCGATGATTTGTCTATTATATATTGATAAAATATTTAACTAAGTATAGGTATCTGGTACTATTAGTTTGCAAGCTAAAAGATAACGTTTGAAAGCTCCTTTGAAATCCGAACGGAAAAGACCGCCGCGGCGTGGCCATAAATCGTTTAATGTACGCGACGCGTGTTATCTGAAATCCGAAAAATAAATTCCAAACACGGGAATGCTTTCATTATCGAGACGCCGAGTGGAATATTCTCGGACTCGTGTTGGAGCATACTTTTCTCATCCGCCGTTTTCCAGCTTGCTTCCGGTGTGTTGCGGAGGATTTTTCGTGGTCGCGTTAAGGGAATCTCCAAACAAGGAGAATTTAACAGCCCCGGCGGATAATTTATGCCGAAAGTAATATTATAAAATTATAATTAACACGGTCGTTCGTGCAAGCACGCTAAACGCATTATAATGGTATTTCAGGTTTACGAGACCGGGGCCCCTTTTCACGGGGCGAGCAACATTGTTGCTGCGCGCAGACCACCGCCAACCCTTATACAGCTTGGTAATTTCGCGTTACGACGATGCAGTGCTTAACGATTATGAAGCTCTCTCGCCGTGCGTTACGGAAATTCTGGAATTTTTCTTTTTCTCTAAACACACACACACACATACACATCGCGAAAGAAAGAGAGGGAAGCAGGGAGCGAGAACGGAGAGTGAATTTTGACAAAGAACCCAACGCCATCACTGTTCTCCCTAGACTTTATCGACGTTATTACGTAATATAATTAGGACACGCGACACGCTCATGCACAGTGAAATTTAGTTTTTAATAGACTTTACTTTATCAACGGTGAGAAATATTCCTCGTCACATAAAAAATCCTTTAATTACTCTTCGTTACGCGACAGAAAAATCGAATACTCCGGTATCAAGTAATGGGGCAATCTAGGTGTTTTTTTTTTTTTTTTTCAATGAAAGCTGATCTAATGAAAATACCTCGCCCCGATTGTTATTTACTGCATCACGTAATAAAGAGTCCATACATCTTCGATCATTTCAGAGATATTACTTCGGGAGATTCAATTTCAGGGAAAATTTTCTCTTAGTTGTTTCGTTTTATTTCGATATTTATCTTGCACGATACAAACAACTGAAATCAATTACCCGGAAGTAATGGTTCTCTGAATTTATTGCTGAGAAGCGGTCGGAAGGATCGAGAGAGAGATGAAATAGAAGAACATTACTAGAAATTGCTAATTATAAATTCACGATACGATTCAATTGCAAAAACAACACGCCCCCGAATTTATTACTGAAAAGAGAATGAATGTTTCCAAGAAAAGATCAACAACGTCGTATTTTGTAATACTGAAAATAAAATATTGATATTAATCTTAATAATTAAAACATATTGATTGATTCAATCAATAATGTCACGATGAATCTTGTAATACTGAAGATTTAATATATTAATATTAATATATAAAATTTAACGTTAATATCAATTAAATTGTTAATTAAAATATTAATATTAATATTATATAGATATTAATTAAATTATTAATTAAAATATCAATATTAATCTTAATAATTAAAAGAAATTGATTGAATTAACATCACCAGAAAAAGATCATAATGAATTTTGTAATACTTAAAGTAAAATATCAATATTAATAATTTAGTACGACGTTAATATATTAACATATTAATCTTGATATTCTATACACGATAATATTAACAATATCGTTGATCGCGAATTAATAATCCTAACTAAAATAAGCCTGCGAAAATAAATCTCTAAATTCATCGTCAAGAGAAAATTCGCGAAAAAGGCGGAGGAAGATCTGCAGAAGAATCTGAAAATGCAGAAGAAAGTCTGCTCGTAGGAAACGTACGTACGCGATATTTTAACACCGTGCCACTTGATGCGGTGGAAACAAAGTTATGAAAATGGAGGAGACTGGCGAGAGGAGAACAGCTGGAAAACGCACTCGAGCAATTAAAACGTTAACACGGTCGACTGTTTCGTTTAACGATGTGCGGCGTCACTCTCCCCCTTTTTTTTGTTTCAGATGTCAAGAATGTCCTGTGGTGAAGCCGACGTTCCTTTGCGGAAATGATAATCGCACGTACAGCTCGCCGTGCCGACTTGAATACCACAACTGCATCCACCACACGTCAGTTCGCATCGCTTGCAAAGGATTCTGCCCGTGCAAAGGTGAGCGCATCGCGTGTAAAACGTTTTCTTTCCGAACGAGGCGAAAAAGCGCGTTCTCTGCACGAGAATCGGCACGTCGGTTGAATTCGACGTCGCGCGAATATTGCTCTTACGTGTTGAACGTAACCTTTGCAGTTACGACTCCCTTCACACAATCGGTATTCAGCAACGACTCGGCGGCTACTGTGACTTTCGAGGTACACGTGCAAATACAGTAGATTTTTACTATTTTTTTTTTTTATAGAACAAAAGAATTGTCGATAAAATTAAATATTGCAGGCAAATATGAATAAATTGACAATATATATATATATATATATATATTTATATATCGAGAAAAATTGGGAATGCCGCTGCTTATTTTAAGATGTGACATCGTGTCGGATATAAATCATTATATATGTTTAGTTTGCGGAATTAAAATTGAAAATTCAAATTCAAATTCAAATTCAGGTTTCACACGGGTCTACAATTTGCTTTTTCTTTCAAATCGAAATCATAATTCCTATCACTCGAAGGGTTCAATTACTCGTGAGACTCGTTTTGTTCAAAATTGAGAAAAAGTGGGGGTGAATATAATTTGACTGGCTGAGAATCATGCACGTGACATTTTCAATCAGTGTAAATTATTTTTAATAGGAAATTACTTTCGTTAAGAATAACTTGCGTTATAGATTCACATTGCAACAACTGAGTATCGTTGCATTCATTATTTTAATAAATAAAGATTATTTTTTTAATAAACAAAGAATATTTGCTTTTAATGAAACGTGACTTGCGTTGCATATTGTTGATCACTGTATTTCCCTAAATCACGAAAACTATGAAATTCTAAAGGAACGCAAGTTTCAAGAGTTTAAATGTATAATTATGGTACTCAGTTTTTTGAAAACTATGTCCCCGAATCAAACAAATTGCTCTTTTCTGTTATATTTATAAAAATATATATATATATATATTCTTCCCGTATGAAGTTACAAAAAAATAATTCGACTCAATCATTGAACAACGAAAAATTCAACGTGAGGAACGTTGCGTCCAAAAACGACGATTGCCATGAACGATGAATCATATAGAAATCAACCTACTTGGCATCAAATAGCATCTGGGGCACGTCACGTGTCCGTTTCCCACGTCAAAATGCAATTTCATTACCAGCATAGCGTCGAATTTAACACCAAATTCCATCCGTTTCGCGAAATTACTCGAACCTGAAGACTGCCCAATTTAAGTCTCCCGTTCGAACACAAAATCCACGATATTACGGATCAAGCAGCGGCCATTCCCTGTTTCAAATTTAATCACTTCCGCGTAAATTCTATCTGAATTTAATCACGCGCCGCTGGAAACGTGACGTACGAACACGAGTTACATTTCAGCGTTCATGTGGGCAACTCGTTCGTGCCGTGTAATTTGCATAGGGTTTTAAAGAGTCCGAAGATAAAAAGTACGTACATACATCTAACTTGATGTACAATTTCGGGAAGAGACGTAGAAAGTTTGTGCATGCAGTTTCCGCCGAGATAAAGTGGCCGCACGGGAACGGGCTGGGGAATTAGATTTCCGCGCGGAAGTCCGGAAGTAGAAGAATTTTACAGTTCTTTCAGCCTTGAGGTGGAACTCGCGTGAGGCAATTTAACCCCGCGACACCCTTTCTTCGCGTGCGGCGAAGAATTCGGGTCAACTGCGTTGTTGAACCTGTTTAAAATACTCGAGATACCGGGAACGTTTGAAATTTCTCCCGCGTCTGTATCCAACCGACATCCTCGCGCTCGATTGCGTCGATTCTTCCACCTTTCCCCCCCCCCTTAATCACTCGTTCTTAACTCGCATTTTTTTGTTTTTTTTCTTTTTTGTATATTTCTTGCATCGTGCACCAGCAAAAACAAATTTGAAGAAAGACGAGGGAGAATTGGAAAATTCAAGAGTCGTCGCGGAGATAACTTTCGAATTAGTATTGCCGAGATATAAACGATTGTAGTGAATGTAAAATTAAATGCAAATTAAAATTAGATACTCCGAGTCTTACTTAAGTGACACGAACGATATAAATTACTAAAATGCAAATCGCTCTTAGGAATTTTTAAATATTCATTGCAATTTATAAACCGCGCCCTTTGAATTTTAGTTTTCTCGTTTCTAATCTCCGAGATTGCAAAGAATTCAAATGAAATACCTTAAATTTTTAGTTGTCCGCCGTTAGAGATCACGGATAAGATAGCAACGAATCTAAAGAGCAATTTGAATTCGGAGGATGACACCGAAGGATAACTTGAATTTAAGAGAATAATTCAAAGAATTTAACTCGAAGAGACAAAACGGCGAAGTAAATTCCGGGATCGGATTGATTGAAGTTCAAGTTGTTAAGCACTTTTCCCAGCGAACGAAGAGTTAAGAAATTAAATTGATAACGGGCGCGATGTCGCGTGAAAAAGAACGCGCGAAAAATATAGGATAAAGGCCATGCAAACTCGATTTATTATCCGTAAAAGCCGGTTTGATTTATCGCGGACAGCTTTTGAGAGGCGAATTAATGGTTCTCCTTCGCGGCGTATCGAAAATTCAGAATCGATATCGATATCGGTATCAAACCGGAGAACATTCCCGATCAGTTCAAAGCGAATCTTCGCCAGTTCCCTTAAATATTTCAGAAAGATTTTATTGTTTCCCATTTCAGAAAGATTTTATCGTTTCTTTAATGAACGAGTCGACGTAACAAAGGTGAACCAAAACGTGTTTGCACGTTCGATAAAAAATGATCGATATTTGAAACTGCTTGAACTTTAAACAGTTGGCTTTGTTTTTTGAAACTTCTATTTTACCAGCGTTGAGTTCGTTTTTCCAAAGATGTTTTTATGTATTATGCAGCGGATGGAAAAAACGGGAAATTGTAAAAATTTCAAAATCGCCAAAAATCATTGAAAAATTTTTTTCATGATTGCATCTACTATGATCTTGGAGAATGAAGTCTTCCTTTTATGTCAAGCCCTTAAAACGTACTGTACAATCTTTCTTCGCCATTTTATTGAACCCTGAACATCACATTTCAGCGACAAAAATTCAAGAAGTCCCAGAATTTTTAAAGTTCAATAAAATGGCGATTAAAAAACATCGTACAACAAATTTTAATAGGTCGTTGCAAAGAAGAGATCTCAATCTTTAAGACCATGATAAATTTAGTCACGAAAAAAATTTTTTAATTTTTTCGGAGACATTGGAATTTTTACAATTCTCGGGGACAAAACTTTGTCACTCGCTACGTGACAAAAAAAAAAAGAAAAAAACAAACGCAGAGCAGTAAAAATAGAGGCTTCACACTTCAAAATGAGAGCAACTAAATTGTTACACGACTTTTTTTATGAAATTACAGCAATTAAAAAAAATAGACAATTTCTCATCGATTGTGCGAATACTTTACTTATCTCTTTGATGAATAAATTTGCATATATTTTTTTTCAACGATTCTCACATATATATATATTTTGAAAATAGAATATACGCAAAGAGGACGTTACCTTAACGAACCATTCGTAATCTCGAATCCGTGCGGACATTTTCTGATTTTACACGTGGAATTAATTCGTTAGTTTATTCATAGGCAACGGCGCATAGTCGGTTTAACAGTGGGGAGGGGGAGGGAGGAGGGCTCGTGTTTGCGTCTCTTCGCCTGCTCGCCAGGGACAAACACATCGACTATGAATATTCATAATTGCCTGTTAGAACAATAATGTCACTGTTAAAGCGTACGAGGTCGCGTGTCTCGCAATGACGGGGTTGAGAAGTCCAAGTTCAAGTCGAGTCTATGTGTTTTGGAATTCAGAATATCTCTTTGCTCCTTCAGCGATTTAACTAGACTGCAGGTTTTTATGCATATTTGTTGAAATTTCAAAGATGCAAAAAATGCGTATAACGCAGATAATAACATAGAAATATATAAAATACATTTAAAATATGAAAATACTCTTGCAGTACTCCTAGGTATATGAAACACGAAAGCTACCTCTATCCCTTTAACGACGCACGTAAAAATTTAAACATCCGCAGTCTGTCGATTAGTCTGAATATTGGCTGCTGAATATTCAGAAATCACGCGGAGTAGATTTATTCCTCTTTAACGCCGTGTAATGAATTTTAAATATATATATCTGAAATCTCAAGCTCGAGCTTAAATTTAAAAATTCCGAGCTAAATTTTAAAAGGGGTTTCAAAGAGGATTGAATAGCCGGGCTATTTCATCAATTTTTCTATCTTCTCCATTATTTGTTTCGTGCAATTAATTTTTTTTTTTTCATATCTCGAACACTTTCCATCTATTTTACGTTTTTTTATATTTTTTATTGTTTTATTTTCCGCTTGTTCTGTCTCAAACAGGGACGAAAAACACCATTGGTAGTAAAAACGGGACGCAAACAAACGCAGGCCGACTAATAAAGCTACGATGGACGTGACATAAAATATTCGGGAACGTGTAAACGTTCGCGAACGAGTTTTATCGTGTTGCGGCCGACAGTCTCGTCGCGTTTGTTTAAAAATCATCGAGGAGCTTGTCGCCGCGTGTGTCGAATGCAAATGCTCATTTATTTACACGCGATTAATGAATTTTCGTTTTAGCCGCTCGAAATTTCCACGGCACAACCGGCCGGAAAATTTTCCGGGATTTCTACATGTAGAAATGGCCTCGACTAATCTTTCGGTAATTCTGAATGAACGTTTTTTGCAATTTAGAATCGCACAAACGGGTTCGTGATCTATTGAACAATAACTGATTCAAATTACGCGTGTTTTGTTCTCTAGGCAAAAGAATAATGAATTTAAATTATACATGTGTTTGTTAATACATCTTACTATAATTATTTATTAATATTACTCGTCAATATTCCTTTGTTTATTAAATTTGGAAAAAGATATTTGTCATCCAATAAATTTTTTATAAATAGTAATAAATTACGTTATATTTACTATTATTAAAAAATTATTGAAAAACTATATATATACGTTTGCATTTATTATCTTAAATTATTTATTACGTTTATTCTATGATAAGTTTTCTTTTTTTCCACGCGAAGCTTTGTTTCCGGGATAATTAATGCTGAATATTTCACGCGAAATTGAAAGCGCAAAATGACGATGAAAGAGACGAATATACCTCGATGCGGTATTATTATTATTCATATTGACGCATGCGAAATCGGAAACCCGATTTATAACGCGTCATTGCGATTGAATAATGCTTTTTCAATCTCGGCGAAGTTTCGGCGTTCTCGTAATGTCGGATTATGAAAATTCAGAGCTTTTGCGAATCGAACTTTTTTCAGCGGCCGATCTACGTGCGCACAACAAGAAGATGCAGCTGCAGAGGCAGAAAGCACTCTCTGGCAAGCTGTCGCGAAACCGTGACATCACGCTGACCCCTCATGTCTTCAACTATGACAATCATCATTACCAATATCTCAAGTACACCAAGCGTGCCAAGGTAAGTTTGAAGATTTTTGAAATCGTTAATTCGTCTGATAAACCAGAAACGTGTAGTTTCGAAGTATTATCATCCACAGTGAGCGTAGAAAGTTTTCGTACGCTCGATGAAAGATTGTTATAATTTTGTAGGGGGGAAAAATCGTACAACAAGTTTTAAGGGGAGACTTGAATCTTCAAGATCGTGGTTACTTTAAACTTTTGTAACTTCGTGAAAAAGAAAATCTTCGTACGACAAATTTTAGGGGATTCTTCTTAGTAAAGGGGAGACTTGAATCTTCAAGATAAGTTGTCGATTTAATTATGAAAAAAATTTTCACGTTCCGAATTTGCAAAATTTTCGAAAAGGAAGCACGTTTGTTCGTCTCCTCTAAAATATTTTTGAAACAAATAAACTCGGTGTTATAAGAATAGAGGCTTTGAAATGAATCCGGGTAGATTATTATACGACTTTCTTCTCACGAAATTATGGTAGTTTAAAGTACAAACAATTTTTCGTCGATCACGAGAATATACAAAGGCCAGACAAAAATATTTTAAACTGTCATAACTTTGTAAAAAAAAAAAATTGTACTATCCAATTGGGCTCGTTTTAAAGTCTCTTACAAAGCCTTTGCTGAATTCGTTTTTTCCAAAGATATTTTTCATCTCATTGTCATTCATCTCACTATTATTATCTCAGAGAAAGTAAGTACTTGTTCTGAAAAGTTATTTTCGTAACACAGCATTCTAAATGCGTGATATTGATGATCAAAGTTCTCCCTCCCCCCGCCCCTTAAATTTGTTGTACGATTGAAAAAAACTTTAATACCAGAACTATCGAAATGGCCAATTTATAATTTTAGATATTTTATAAATACACGATACAAAGAAACAATACACTTTTACAGATTTAGATGATTCCTCGTAAAACGCATAAATAAAGTGCTCGTTTGCACTCTATTGTAACTGAAAGATTTCTGTTTCTTTTATCTCAATGTCTCTGATGGCAATTTTACGCTTTGGTCGTCGTTAACTCCAACGTTCCATCTAAATTATCGAACAATTTTTCATCGCCTGTTCTCTATACCCATTCAAGTATGAATAAGGAGCAGAGTTCCGTGAAAAAAAAAAAAAATATAATTTCAACAATGAAACCGTCGCGCAAGAAACAACGCCGGCTGAAAGAAACGCGGCGAGATGAAAGTCGGTTTGCAAAACGAGCCTGGTAGGAAAATCGCGTTCGTCGACGGTGAATTCGCGCGAAACGCCATTTCTGGGATGAAAGCGACGCGGATTCAGCGGAATTTGAAATTGCTGACTGCCGCGCGGTCCCTGTTTCCTGTTCTCGCGGTTTTATCCGGTGCCGTTCTCCCCGCGGTGGTTTCCGTGTTTACGCCACGTGAACCACCAGTTTTGGCGTATCCTCCTTTCCACCTCCTCTCCTACCTAACCGGCGACGATTATACGTCATAATTTCCGTTTAATTGACTAATATCCTCGCCACGACGGCCAACAACCGGCCGACAAACGATAGTACGAATACACGCAGCCGGTTCTCTGTTTATTAGGTTACGTTATAAACGCTCTGGCATTATCGCGGTTATTACAACGCTGGATGAATGAGCCAGTTGATTTCCTACCGTGCACACACGCGGCCAGCAACCGTTGTAATTAAAATTTGTTGCGTCGGGAACTTTGATCGTAACGGTTAATTATTAGTTGGCCAGCCATTTGGCGAGGAGGGTGGCACGTTAAGTTGAGCTATTGTAAACGACGATGAAAGTTTCGGGTGATCTATGGCTGCCTAATGGATCGTACACGTTAGATCATGGGATTATTATGGATATTGCGATAGCCAGTTTGGCTTGGTTACCGCATGTCGAATAACGTTACTTTTGATCTCGCCAAGCGATACATCGCGTCGCGGTGATTGCGTTACGCGTTGGTTACGAGTTCGCGGGGAAGTTTGTAAGTTGAATTACTTTGGTAAATTGGCTTTCGAGCCAAGGTCAATTTATTTATTTTTCTTTCGGGATCTTTCTTTCACGGAACGATGAAAGTTATATTGGAAGGATGCTCGTAATATTCGGAGTATCAATATCTTTTGAAAAACAATGATTAATTTTTCTTGAAATTCTATTAATACGATAGAACCATCAATTATATATTATTTAATCAGTATTCATATTTTCATTGGACTTCTCTACAAAAGGAGTTGAAATTGAAATAACTAGGATATCCAGTCAGCAAGAGTTTAAATTTACAAAACGTAATTTTTACTGCGTGTAGATGTCTGTGAAAAGTAACAATTAGATTGCAGACGTTTGTGCAATTTTGCATTTTCACAAAGATCATTAAAAGAAAGTAGAACGAAGCTGGAAAACTGTTTTGCTCGCTAGATATGTTAAGAAATATTTACATGCAAATTCAAATTTATATAATTATAATAATTATATACAAATGCAAATTTATATATATATATTATTATAATTGTAAATATAATTATAATAATTACAAAAATTATATTCATTTATATGCCTTCAGGTCTCTCGTAAATGCATGGAAATAATTCGTTTTCAACTGAAAATCGTGTGATGCTACAGCGACGTCATCTAATCCTATCAACGACCATCTATTTGCATACTTGCACCCCATTCTGGGTGCGTCATTGGTCACGGGGCCGGGGAGGGAATATTTCAACCTCTCTCGTTGAAATATTCGCGGCGTCGTTTTGATTTACAATCGTTAATTCAATCGTCACGTAAACAGTTACGGTTTCGTTTGTTTCGAGGGTGGTGGGAGGGAAATCCTTGCGACCTGAATATTTCAGCGGGGAGAGGGGGAGAGGGAGAGAGGGGAAGGAAGGGATTTTAAACGGCCGCCATTACTATTCGTATTAGAGGCTATGAATTATTTAAGTTGGGAATCACAGATTCGCGAGATGAACAGCATACTGTCAGGCTAAATTGCAAAATAAATCTGAACCGAGGGGGTTAAATCGCTTTCCATTTAACTATTCGCGGGACCCTCCCCCTTCCCCCCCCCCCCCCCGGCCCTTTTTTTCCCTCTTCAATCGGACTCGTTATCGTATTTCATCCAACGAAACGATGAAGCTACACGCGTTATGCGGATCTCACGGCGTTCTTCTATCGCTCAGCGATATGGACGATAGGTTTGCTGTATTGTGATCGTAAGAATCACAAGTAAAATTGAGTCGTAGGAGGTAGAAAGTTTCATAAGTTTCTTCTCAATTGAGGAGTAATTTTTCGAAAGAATCGTTTTTAGATGGTAGATATCGGTAAGAGCGTAATACTGACAAGTTAAAAAATGACTGAGAAATAGCGAGGGAGCAACTCTTAAAAAATTATTTTTAGAACGTAAAAATTAACATCCAGTAATTCCAGAATGTGTTTGCAATGCTAAATTTCAATCCTTTGCTATCCGTGGACCAACATTAAACATACTTGTTCTGTTTTGAATTTTAAAACTCGTAGAAATTTAGAGTTAGAAACTTTACTTTTTTATTTATCATTCAACAAATTTGTTAAGCTAATTGTTGAAAGATATTTTGAATAATCGAAAAGAGATACTTTTTCATCGAAAAGTAAAATTTCTTTTAAAAATAAACTCTGGAAGAATATATTATAATCTTCGCTATATTTTTATAAATTATCATAAGTCGTATGAATCCTAGTTAATAGCTAACAAGTATTTTTATTTCACTAAATATTGGTGTATCGTCTTTTGGTCAGAGAATTTTAAGAATTATTGACGAAATGAATTTTTAAATTGGCAAAAGACCAATTCAGTTTTCAATTTTTCATTTTAAAAAATTAAAATGGAGAGAAATATTTTTCGTTGAGACGATAAAAGTCTAGTCGAGGTGAATCTAGACTGAAATAATACCGAGTTGTTAAATTTCATGTTATAGAGTCCTTAATCCTAGGATTTTAGATCCTAGCCTCGTAAATTCCACAGTGCTAATCCTTAGAACGCTAAATTTTAAGATCCCAAGATATATAATACTAAATCCCGGCTACCTAAATTCTAAGGATCTACATTTTAGAAAGGAAAAATTCTCTAGAGCCCAAACTATTTGAAATTCCAAATTTTTTACAGATACCAATTCTGTTACCGTTGAAAACCATAAAATTTTTACTTGAAAAACGCTAATACTTGCTAAACTTCAAAATTCCAAACTAAAAGAATTTTAATTTAAACATTAGAATACACCCAAATCATCAATCCTTCTTTTCCATAGACCATATTTTCTTTAATATCAATCAATACTCAACCCCTTTAAAATTCAGAAAGCAAAAAGAATTAACGATTAACTCGACTCGAATTGCAAAATGAAGACTCCAAATAAATCCCCAATAGTTTAATTTTTAATCTTCAAAATCTTGTAATTCAAATTCTCACGCATGCTATGTACGATTAAAGAAAGAAAAAAAATGTTTTGATACAAATTTTTTAGTGTTCTCAATGAAAGTTTCGTTTCAAATGAGAATCTTTCAGTTCTTCGAATCAATAATTTCCTCCATTTTTTAAAATAAAATATCCAATGTTTATTCGCTATCAATCCCGAAAAATCTCCTAGCTTGAAGCACCCTGTACAAACCAGCCCCCGTGCATCGTACGAAACAAACACGATAACGTTTCGCTAACAACGTTCGAAGTCTTCGTCCCTGACACGACGACTTACACACCAGGGGATACCTGTACTTTGCGAGCTTTCTAGCGGCGACCTTGTAATTTAAGGTTGAAGGTAGGCTGTGGCACCGCTCGATAAAACACCAGCAGTGATAGAAGTCTCACGAACGTAGGGGTTGCAGAAGAATCGACCTGGCCACCCCTTGATTTACGCCATCCAATCGATTCTGCTTACCTCTTTTTTCACCCTCTTTTTTTCCTATATTCCTCGTGTCTTGCGCGGTTCCTTTTCCTCTTTATCCCCTCTCCTCCCGCCTCCCACAACCACCACGGAAGATAAAATTTATGTATCGATTATCCTTACGATTTTCATTGTCAAGCAGTCTCGATGGATGTCAGCAGATTTAAATTGGGCCATTTATCCCGACACTTCTTCCCCCCCTTCTTCGTTCTTGTTTCAAATTCGAAAATCTACGATCGCTGTTTCCACGATTATTGCTAAATTTTACAGCTACTCATCAATTAGCTATAATTTATTGCCTATAGTTGCCGAATTTTGGTAAATAAAACTTGTTTCATAAATTTATGTGAACTTCGGGGGACGAACAGTTTATCATATTCATAATAAGAATCCATCGATTCCCTTTACTCGTTCAAGTTCGAGTAAGTAAATTTAGCCAATTCGGTTCATAAAAAGTAGAATTCCACTGTAAACGTAAAATTAGGACTCGAATGTGTTCTTTAGTTGATGCAACCTCGTGAATTTTGCGGCTGTTTGGTTTATTATCAAGTTTGCTGTCGCAGTATCCGTTGCGTCAGTTAGGTTTGTTAGCCATTCTCGCTCAGTGGGGTTTGATACGCGAAATTTCGCGTGCGTCTCATATTACATTCCTAAAACTACCCTCTCCTCGATTCTCCATTTTCGATACGATACTTCGTCAGCCTGGAAACAAGGGAGAGCCAAAGGCACTGCCAAACTACAAAGTATCGGATCGCTTTCGCCGAAAGGATTAATAAACCGGGGTGGATATCGATGGGAAACGATGCCTGGCGCGGCGATAACGTCTCTCAGGAAATTACGAGCCATTCGACGCGACATGCAGATCCTCCGATAGAACGACGAAAGACTGGCTATGTACTGTTGCCTCTTCTCTAGCCAGCCCCGCGTTCCATCTATTTATACAGGCGGAAGGGCGGAAATGGGGGGTAAATACGAGCGAGATCGCGAAGGGCTGTTGGATACGTTCAGTTTGTTTTTTTACCCCCCCCCCCCTCTCCCCGGGGTAACAAAGGGTCCGTGTATCAAGTTCATGGAACGGAAAAAGGGGAAATGCAGTTATTGTTTTACCTCCTTCCCCCTTCCTCCCTCCTCCGAGGATTGAAATCGCCTTCCTTCCAGCCGAGTGTGACGAACGTTTGAACGTTCGAGGGTTGAAAAGGACGATGGGAAACGCGACGATGCGTTGGAAGCGAGGAGATATTCTGATTATTAGATTTGAGGAATAATGTTACGTTACAACAGCATGGAATATAAAAGTTATGGATACAAAAGCGTTGAGTTGGGATATTTTCGTTTAATGCAGATGCCTGAGGAATGATATTATATTAACATTCTTTCCTTCTATATAGTGTTTTAATTAGTAGAGAGTTGAACAGAGTTGTGAGAGATAAGATGATGTGGTAGAAACGAGAAAATGTTCTGGTTACTAAACTTAAAGAATAATATATAATAATATAATATTATAAAATTATAGAATAATGTGCCATATTACTAGATGGTTCAATTTTGGTATATTAAGGGTTAAATATTAAGGGTTAAAACATCAAATTGTGTTTGCAATAAATTTCAATTACAGTATCGATTTCCAATTCAATTGACAAAATAAGAAATTTTTGCAATAAATAATTTTTTAATATGGTGCGATAGATTTGAAAATTCATATTTTTATGACAATTTGACATCTTCACTATTAATTATTAGACTGCGGATGACAGAAAATAAAATTCTGCACGTATTTTACGCATTGATAGAAAATATTTTTTTGGTTTTTGGATTGAATTTTTAATAGTGATCTTTACAAGAAAAATATTGAAGAAATTCAAGGATTCATAGTGGTTTGATTGAAACACCATATAAAAGAAGAGAATATTAAAAAAGGAATTTCAAGTTCGTAACGGAAAGTTGAAAAAGAAATTATAAAGTAACTAATTCAATAAATTTACAGATGTGCCAGAGTTCAATTTGCTTAATGAAAACTGAAAACTACAACTGTATCGAAAGAAAGGATATTGAATTTCATGAGTGACTCTGAATTTTGCGCGAGCCTGTATAATCGTTCGAAACCCGTTGACAAGGAAACCACCCTCGTCGGTTCGCGATTGAATGCAGGAATATCGCCGATAAATCGCAGTCTTCCTCGGATTGCGCGCGTGCCACGCGATGAATAAAATCACTTACGAGGGACCGTGATGTTCAGTCAAGGGCTAAAAGGCAGCCCACTCCTCGTTCGTGACATTTAACGAAGTTTTAACGACGCAACTTTGAGAAATAGAAATAAGAAAGGAAGAATTCCATTTAGCTTCTTTGCCAATCCGGAAGAAGAACGAAGGGAAGCATGAAGAAAAATATCCTGCGATCCTTCATAGTTACCTACGTAGACTACGCCAGACTACGCCTCCGCCCGTTTGACTATAAATCTCTGATTCTTTCGAATACCTTCATTCAATTTTATTTCAAACTTCCGCCGGTGTTACGATCCATCTCCGAGTGGCATTAATTTCTGCAGTACAGAAAATTTGCTTCGTTCACTGCGTATTTTAATAAATACTCCACTTTTTATTTATTTTTGCTGTATCGCAAATGTTCGATATGCATTCGCGGTCTTTTAATTTTCCATAGATAGAAAATGGAATCTACATTGAAATTTATCGCACCCACTGTACCTCTGTACCTTTTGATCATTTCCAAAAGAGCGATGTATACATGTATCGGATGAGACATGTCTGTTCAACTCTCACAACTCTAACATCAAAATTACTAAATTATTTAATTAATTTATTAAATTTAATAATACTTAAATATAAATTAGTAATTCAAATTTTTTAATATTATATTTAAATATTACACATAATAAATACTCTATTTCATTTCAATTCACACAATTTCATCTCGTCCAATTTCCCACAAGTGCATGAAAATCCACTCGGTACAATAATCACAGTTCTCCAACGGAACAACAACTCTCACGTTGCAAAGATCAAACTACCTTCATCCATTCTTCGAACACCGTGTTCGATTTTCCCACCCCTCTGAAAGCGCTCAAGATATATTCAGTTTCGGTTGCTTCTTTCAACGACGTATATATAATACCGGAAAGAGAAAGAAACGTGGAGGAGTAGGCGAACGCAGTCGCGGAGATAAATAACGTAGTGAAAAGAAGGGAAAGAAGGACGAGCGGGATATCAATAAATAAAAGTTAGCAGCGAAGGGAGGAGGGAAGTCTAACCGTGGCGCGAGAGTAAGTCGCTTGCGTTATGCAGCGAGCCCATCTGAAATTCCCTAGCACCCGGAAACTACCGGCCCCGCGCCCGGAATCGGAAATTAGCGTGTTGCGTCGGTAAATCATAACTTTCTTTGGGACTAGTTTACGCCTCTCAGAGCCGACCAGCGACGTTTCCGATGTCCAACAGCATCGTGGCTCGATAAACGTCGAATTTATACGAAACGAGTGCATCAATTATTTTCGCCTGTCCCTCCCGCGGAGAAAAAGTGGTCCTAGGAAATTGAATATTTAAGGTGCCCTCTCGTTTCTCCTGGGAGGAAATGTCCTAACTTCTGAACGGAGATGTACGTATAACTTGTGGAATATATTTATGATAAAGATCGCAACTTTTCACGATGTGTATATATTAAGAAGTGAAAGATCAGAGTTTTTTAATTCCTAGGGAATTGAAGGTATTTTAGGTATTCTTTTGTTTCTTCTGAGAGCAAATATCCTAGTAACTTCTGAATGGATAGATATATGTAATTTATAGACTATGCTTATAATAATATATTTATATTTATAAATTAAAATAATAAAATAAATATACTTATATTTATAAATTAAAATAATAAAATATATTTATATTTATAAATTATATTTATAATAAAGATCGTAGTTTTGAACGTATACCAAAATACACGTAAAAGATGTATTAAGAAATTTTTTAAAAAAAGGATCGATGTTTTTAATATATGTATGCAGATGGCGCACACATAATGAACCGTCTTTAATTCGTGAACGTATATATTTGAGATATACTTGATTTTCATCTTTTTTTACTGAAATCTCTTATGAGAAATTAATTGACATGATTTAAAACATATGAAAACAAGATCCTACATTTAAGTAAAAACGCTTGGAGTTCAATTTTATTAAATTAATAATAAAATAAAAATATTTATCAAATTCCAGTTTTTGTTTCTTTTTCCTGGCAATTTTAAAATTCATTATATTTAGTACACGTCATATTATCAAAATTGTTTCTTTTATTGCCAAAATTATCCTCTTGAGCATTTTTAAAGAATTGATTACATTGCGAAAAAATGTTTGAACCCGACTTGCGTTATTATTCGTTTCGTTAACACTGAAACAATATAAAATTCAGAAAGATCTTGTCACCCCTTTCAACAGTTGTCTCAATTTGATCAAACGTGGACAGAACAGAAGGAAAAAACAACGAGTTAAAACTCGAGCGACTGTTGTCCGTTCAATTTTCCATTCGGTCACCACGCGATCTTTTTTTTTTTTTTTTTCTATCTGGAATAAGAGAAAATGAAACGATAAAGAATAGCCAGCGGCAAAGTAAACGGTAAAGTGTTCGAACGATTCGAACGTTTCCACTTCGGTAAATGTAACGTCCTGTAGTCGACTTAATTAAATCAACGCTTTAATAGAGCCGACAAACATCCTCGAATTCTCCGCGACACTTTATTCCTATCTTCTCGGGGTTGTTTTTATTCGTCCTCTCCCACCTCTCCTCGTTCTTTCCTCCGTTTCTTTCACCTTTAGTTTTACCTCCTCGCGGAAGATTCTTGAGAAAACGGTAGGATAACGGAGCCCTTCGTCACTTGGGGACACTTCGCTTTTATGATTTTCATTCCAAACGCGGACTGCAAGGTGGAACATTCGTCGCGCTTTTTCCACGGGCCAAGGAAAGGGAACGGTAATAACAGAATCTGGATAAGTTGCTTCTTCGGACGAACTCCCTTGCATCACTCCATGCTGGTTGTTCCGTCAAAATTTTCACGTACCAAAGTTTCAAAGCTCGAAGATACAAACAATGGAAGATCGAGAGATCGCGAGGTTGCAACTCACCGACGTTACGAATTTTTACTCGCCGACAACTTGGATAACTCGCTTCATCTTCGCACGAGCTCCCTTATGTTACTCTGTGTTGATTCCAAAGTTCCAAGACTTCCGAAATACAAACACTGGAAAGATCGAGAGATCGCAATTGACGAGTTACAAATTTTTGTTCGTCGAAACTCGGATAACTCGTTTCTTCACAGATAACTCCGTTATATTGTTATTTATTAGCTGTTTCGTTAAAATTTCAACTCCTCGAGGTTTCGAGGTTCTACAACTTCCGAAATACGAATATTGGAAAATCGAAGGTTGCAACTCGCTGAAATTGCAGATATCAAAATTCCAACATCCCGTGAAAATGTAAATACCGGAGCATGTCGAAGTTCGAAGATCTCGAGAAATAGACAATGTCGAAGAATTCAGAGATGATAAGAATGCAGCTTATGCTCATTATGAAAGTAACGATTGCACAAAAATGGTCAAACGCACCATTGATTGCGCAAAATGTTTAAACAGTTTTTGGATTCGAAGCATAATCCCAGTGCGAGCAAGTTCGAGATACGCGATGCGAGATGTGTTTCCATTATCTTATATCTAATCCCTGTAGGCATCTCACGATTCATCGGGTAATTTTGATATAACATTTACCTGCTCCATTAAATCAACCTGAACAGAACCGAAGAATTCTCAGAAGACGTGAAAATACCCCCATCGTGGCGATTAATAAGCCTACGAGAGAAGCAGAGGTGGTTGTTTGCGCAGCGTCACCCAGAGCGCTCGATTGAAATTTGTTCGCCAGGTATGTGTTCGACAGGGCGCGAGTGGAAAGTTTCGAGCTCTGTATCCACCCCGTTCCTCATCCTCTCCCTCAGACAGGAGACAGGATCGATCGAGTGAAATTAAATTTCCAGGCGAAAGTATCTCGAGAATGGTGACAAAAAAGAAAAAAAAAAAAAAGGAAAAAGAGAAAAAGAGGAAGGAAGAAAGAGAGAAAAAAAATAGAAGAAAGTTTTACGTGGGCCACGAAAATCCGGGCTTATTGTGAGAGCGAAACAGAACTTTTAACGAGACACACCTTTTTCCCTCCGGTCGACGTTTTTCCAACGGGAGCGCGAAATGAAGTTCGGCCCGTGGTTTTTTTCTTTTTTCTTTTTTTTTTTTTTTTTTTTTTTTTTTTTNTTTTTTGTAAAGACAATACAACCACCGGTGAAACGCGCGCCGGCAGGGGTTCGAATAAAGGAACCGGGGAGGAATCCGGTAACTAAGACAAAGGCAGAAATGCATTGAAAATCGAGAATGGAAGACACAGGCCGCGCGGAGGCAAAACGCGCGATGAAATGTTCATTGAATCGACTAATCTATTCAAATGACAAGAGGCCGTGAAGCGTGGAGTAGAATGGAAAAGGAGAGGAGGGCCGGCGGAATTACTGGACAAAAGCTTTCACTCCCATCGCTTAAAAAAAAGAAAGAGAGAAACCTTTTCAAATTGAAAATTTGTCGTATTGTCCCCCTCTTAATTCGCCTAGTTTTCATCTTAGTAGCCATTCCCGTCGCGGCATCCTCTCTCCTTCTCTTCGTTCTTGCTCTTTGGGCGGTGTCCTGTTCACTTTTGTGAGCTTTCTTTCTCAGAAAACGATGATAGATGTGTTTGTTGCTTCATCGTGTGTGTGATTCAACGTGGATAAATCGAACGTAGAGATTCGAAGGATTTTTCGAGAAACTGTTTTTATTTGGAACTTGGTTTCGCGTTTAAAGAAACTGTAGAAGAATTGTAACGATCGGTCTGTAAATGTTTATGCAAATTGATGGAAAATTCTTCTCGTTTCTTGAACAATACGAGTCTGTCTTCATTTTTTTTTTTCAGATAGAGATCTATGTTCTTTCAGTAGATGATTTATTGTTCTGATTGCAGAAATTTCTTTATGGTCACATAAAAATTGAAGAAAATCTGAAATCTCTCGTTCGACAATTATTCAAACAAAAATTTCTAAAATTCACACACCGAAGAATTGTTGCATCCTTATTACACACACACACACACATATTTATACTCGATTGTTCAAAATTTGTAGAATTTGTACATAGAAATATTTGCTAAATATTTCTTTGTCACGCGCGTCCTTTTTTCGTCTTACGTTAAATTTACGAAAATCTCCGTTCGTCGTGTAATCATTCGAGGAGAGAATTTATGGGATTTACACAAGTTCCGTGGAAGTGTAACGGAGGGGAAAGAAGAGTTAGATTAAGAACGGCAGGTTGTGGCGAAAAGCGATCGAAGCGATTCATTTTACGATTCGGTAATCAACGTCCGTCTGAAATCTGGAAATCCATCTCGTCCGCAGATTTCCTTTTCGAAGACTGGGATCTTAATTAATTTCAACGATCCCTCTGGGTCCGGTAGTTTCGCATTTTCTTGCTGATCTCGACACTTTGCAGTCTCAAAGATTCTATCGGCGCCCGGCAACGGTAAATACCGTTTCGAGTTTAACCGCTGTTTTCAGTTTCAATCGACAGTGAAATCCAACAGAAATTGAACGAAAATCAATAGTTTCTATTTTAGAGTGGAAATTCAATTTCCCTTCTGTTGAAAGAGGATTTTTCGTTGAATTTTAATCGAACTTTAACTAAATTTTTCGCGGGCTGATTGAAATTATAGAAACACCGTGTTCAAAGAGTACCGAAGAATTTTAGATTGAATTAAATAAAAAAATAATCGAATTAAAAAAAAACAAGCATTGCGATCATTGTAGCTGCGGTGAAAAATATTCTGGATAAATTAAAAAAGTAAGTTTTAATCACGTTGTATCTTTGATAGAAGCGTGGATCGTTGCAGAAACAATGTTCGATTTCTTTCGATCTCTAAAACGGAGTTAATTCGTCAATTAGATTTCCAATCTCTTGGATAAAATAACTTTCTTATTCGTATCTCTCACTTTTTCGATTCAACGAAAAAAAAATCATTATGTCGGATCCACGTTAGAAAAAAATTAGAGTTGATCTAACTGAAATTTTAATTTTATTTATGAACTATTTATTTATTAACGAAAGTTCGCAAGTAAATCAGGTTTCACAGGTTTTAATGAATTTTCGTAACTGAAAAGAGCTACATAGATTTTTCATTCACTTTCTCTCGTCCTGAATTAATCCTTTTAGTTTCTTTCCGCCGGTAAAAGACGATTATTTCTACCTAAAGTACTATATTTTAATCTATCCCCTGCCGTTCTTATTTTTCATTTCTTCACGACACAATGCGTCGAGATGTGTATACATACATATATATATACACGTACGTATCTTAAAAAGTGACAGGAACATTCGGATGAATCCATTGAGACGTGTCTCTGTATATAAAAAACACCTCTTTCCCATTTCTACGCTCCAAAACAGAAACGATAAAAGATTCAAGCTCCATTCCGCCAGGATTTTCCTATTGGTCCGTGCCATTTCTTTCTTCTCTCCGGAGAGAAACGGCCGGGGAAGAAAACGAAGAAAAACAATAAGTCGCGCGGGAAGATTGAAGATAAACAACCGAAAGAAAATGTACGGAGAGGGGCTAGCTAGCGAATGAACAAAGAGGGAGAGAAACAAGCGTCGACGAGAACGAACGAAGG